GACTTCGCTTGGAGTTTTATTGATTGATTTTCAATGGCCCGAGCGAAAAGTGAGCGCCAGAGCAACAGACAATCAGCCAAAGCTATGAGCAATGCTTACCAGCTGCTGCCAGGACTCATCGCCTGCTGCTTTAGCTCCGGCTCCGGCTCCGACTACGACTGCGACTGCGACTCCGGCTACAGCTTTGGCTCCCGCTGTGACGTGCCAGCGACCGGGCACACGTTGCGTATGCTCAATATATATTGTGATGATGGCCACGTAGATGGTTGAGTTGAGCTGCCGGCTTGTTGCCGGGCAAGAAATTCAAGCAATGATGAAGTGTTTTTATTGTGTTTATTGGCATGCGTTTTAATGAAGCACAACAGCTGAAGGAAGGACAGCGGAGGGGGGCGGGCCCTGTCAACAGTCGGCATACACAACTCTATTAGGGGCCAATTTTCGTACAAGTACTAAATATAAATATGGTTATGGCAGTCGAAACTTTTTTCATTAAAACTCTTGAAACGCAAAAACCTAAAGGACCAGCTGGGCTAAGTGAGTGCAAAATGTTATTTTATTGTCAACAAGCAAAGTTACGAAAACAGAATCAACGAGCGGCGGGGAAGCGGCTGGCGAAGACCCAGAAGGACGAACCAGAGAGCTGAATTGTTGCGCTGCCAAAATTTATTTAATATGCAATATAAACAGAGCAACAAGGAAAACATGACACGCTCATAAACTCATTTGAAGAACAGTAAAGCAACAACAACTGCGAGCTCACAGCTGCTTGTTTTTTTAAGGGACAGCAAGGAATTTTTTAATAATACCTCAAGGATTTCACAGTGCAGACACCAAGGATACCATGAAAATCTACATAAATATTGTTGTTGCTGTTGTTGTCGTTGTTTGTGCTTTATGTCAAAGTCACAGCTAACCCACAACTGTGCCCGCAACTTTTTTCATTAATTTCAGAAAAACGAAGAAATAAAAACAACAACACAAATTATCCCACCGGCTTCTGACGCATTAGCCATGGCGATTAAGCACGCCCTCAACTCTCCCTCCAAAAAAAAAAGTCTATAAAAATATTGCCACAACTTTTGCCAGCCTGCAGTCATTATCAATTTATGCCCCGGCGGAGGCGTCTGTCGGGTTCCGCAAGTGTGCATAATTTTTTGGTGCCAAAATTGAATTGATTAATAAAATATGGCATCCGGTGCAAAATAGTCGGCCCCAGCATTAACCCCCATGCGCAGCATTTTAATTTGGTCTCACAGCTTGAAAATGCTTGAAGTACGCATATTTATGCCAACAAATAAGAAACAGTTGGCAATTCTTTGACTAAACCAGAAACAGGCAAACTGAATGACTAGACTACTCCGCAGGTATTTCTCTTTTGTTATTTTTTGTTCACATTTTGCTTGAAAACTATTTTTAATTAAGATTTTATTCTTTGTCAAAATTCATGTGAAAATGGTACCCTCAAATATCCTATATAGACATAGGTCAAATTTCTAAATTTATGAAGCACGCGAGCCTCACTTAAATTTATAATTTCTATGCAAATATGTACACACGTATGTAGCATGCATACATACATATATAAATACATACATACATACGTCCAATGTATGTAGCATGCATACATACATATATAAATACATACATACATACGTACAATGTATGACAGACATACACATATACATACATACAAACATACGTAAAAACATGCATACATACATACATACATACATACATACATGCACACATACATACATACATACATACATACATACATACATACATACATACATACATACATACATACATACATACATACATACATACATACATACATACATACATACATACATACATACATACATACATACATACATACATACATACATACATACATACATACATACATACATACATACATACATACATACATACATACCTATTTACATACGCCTCCTGCTCCGCCCCCTTGGTCCACCTTCTCCATGTTCCTCCGGCTCCTCAGCTTCCAGCATTGAAGCCGCCTGCGCCTAATTCATAGGCGAAGCCTGCGTGCCTTACTTAAATTTTTGAGAATCGAGGAGGAGGGCAGCTTTAATAAATACGTTTTCTAATTTTAATTTGCCGCGCAACAAGACAAATTGGTCTGCTATTGGCATAGAAGTCAACTTACATGCATACATATATACATATACACACACATACATACGTACATACATACATACATACATACAAACATACATAATTACATAGAAACATTAATACGTTCTTTCATGCATGTATTCATATATGCATACATATATATACACATGCATACATGTATGCATGCATGCATACATGTATACAAGCATACAAACATGCATACAACCATGCATGCATACATGATCTATCATATCACTTAATATTATATAGTATTCTATCTTAATTAGACAATTTATTCTTGACATAAATATTTGACAATGTCTAGAGCTTTGCTGGATATTAGTTATGTTTCCATGGGATGATTTTTAAAAGTTCTGTTAAATGAATTTTGACTAAAAATGTTTTCTTTGATTTTCTCGCATGTTTTCCGATCTGTCGCTTGTAACCGCAGCTGCGACAGCGGATTCTTTGACGCTGCGAGTGCATCCTGGCCAAAAAAAAAAAGAAAAAAAAAGGGAACAAAACGAAACAAAAAAGCAAAAAGCATGCATATGCATGACGCATGCTGTTAATGGCATTTGGCGAATGGGGAACTGGCCAAAAGACAAGTTGCTTAAAAAATCAACATCAAAAAACAGGCGAAGCTAAGTGCTCGACTCTGTAGTTTGGTTGCCACAATCGCATCTGGAATGCTCTTTGCCGTGGCTTGGGGAGAGAGAGAGAGAGAGAGCTGCAGCCCGGAGAAAATGTGGGCTAAGACCTAGCTGAATGTTGGGCTCAAAGGACGCAGCACAATATTCGCATAACTTTTGCTTTCCGCTTGAAAGTCGCTGCCGCTGCAGCTCCATCCAAATGCCGGGCATATAATCTCTGACCCAAATCCCCGGAGTCACAGCCAGCGCTGGTGTGCGACGCCTTAAAGACCTTAAGCAAACTGTGTCACCTGTTTAGAGGGCGCGGGGATGGCAAAATAAATATTGGCACTTGCCTCAATAAAAGCGGGTTAGGCTAAGTTCTCCTGGCCTGGCAAAAATGGGTCACAAGTCCGCCCGGGGCGCGGGCGGCTTAGCATTTGACTGAAGCAAATATGAAGCTCGAAGCTAAGCCAAATAATTGCGACCGAAAAAACATGGCTTTCCCTCATCCTGCCAAGGGAAAATGCTTTGAAATTTTAATGGCATTTAAGTGAGTCGGGTGGGCGTGGCACTTGCGCTTGAATTAACAAATTAATGCAAATTTTGCGCACAACAACAGCCGCATGTCTGGCCACGCCCCGCCGCCCCCCCCTACAACACACTTGTGCTTAGCCAACATCTAATGAATATTTATTAACATTTTTCTTGCCAGACGCAGCTGGGCTTATTTTTTTTGGCTGTAAGCAGCTGCATTTCGATTTGCTCGAGCTCTAATTTAATTGCAGCGGCATAAGGACAACACGACAAGGACATCAGCGCAACATCCGCATCCGCTTCCGCTTTGGCACAACATCCGCAACAGCCGCTGACAATCGCATTAGAATGCGCACACCTTGATGGATGAGCGCGCCGCCGCCGGCCGAAGTTGCCGTCGATCAACTGTTACCTGTGCGGCAGGTGGAGCCCGGCTCCGCGCGGGAGTTGCCGCTTAATGCACTCATTTAATTGCATTATGCCGCAGGTCCTTGCATTCCCCCGGACTCCGGCTGGGCTGGGCTGCTGGGAGTGGCATGTGGCAGGTGGCAGCTCCTTGCCTGTTACCAGACAGTTGCCGCACTTAACAACAAGCACAACAACAATGTTAAAGTCATCATTTCATCGACTTGTCGAAGCCTTAATACTCTTGTGGACATAGTTCTTCGAAATGCTTTTACGGAACAGCTTTATATCCGACTGGTGAAAGGGTCCATAACAAGGCTTGGCTAAGTAATTGCTGAGTTTGTTGAAGGTATTTTGAGTAAACAGAAAAGTTTTTAGACAGTTTTCGAGCAATTACTATTGATGCCATATTATATAGTAATCCAATATAGATGACATTTGCTTTATACAACTCATAAATGCCAAGATTTCTCGAAAAACATATAAGTTCTTCCTTTAAGAACTCATTTTTCTACCGATACTTCCTATAGAGATAAAGTATAATATGATAGCTATACTTATAGAAAAATGTTCCCTTAATGTGAAAAGCGTGATAATGCCAGATCTAGCTAACATATCTTGAAAAATATGTTCCAAACGTTTTCTACTGATACTTCCTATATAACTATGTGATATAGAGTTATATAGATCTAGGTCTAGTTGTAAAAAGCACAAGGTCTGCTATATGATATAGTAGTCCGATGTAGATAAAGGTTGCTTAAAAGTAGGAAACATGATAAAACTCGTGACAAGATTAGGTAAGATATCATGAAGAACAATATTTTATTGTTCCAACGATTGTTCCTATATAAGATATATAAGATATGAATGGTAATCAAATGTTGATTTGGATTAAGCTTAGATGCTGGAAGCATATTGTGGCTCATAATTGGACTATTTAGTTATAATTTTTGGAAAAATCGATAATCTTTATATAGATAGATAGATTTGATATCATATATGATATAGGAGTTCGATTCGACTTGGACGGATCAGAAAACCGTCTTTAGCTTTAAAGCTGAAAGTTTCAGTTCCCATTGCAAGAGACGGACATACTTAGTTTTAGGCACCTCTAGTAAACACTTCTCTTCCCTACCTAATGCATAACAATGATAACAATGTGATATTACCCCTTGTAAGGGTATTCACATGAACACTGCATTAATTTGCATATGAAAAGCAGCTCCTTGGCTCCTCAGTCTGTCCCCTTGACTTTAAATGAAGTCAAGAAGCGGCTGCGGCTAAATGAAGAGCACGAAATGAATGGAGGCGGGCCACACCGAATATTTATAATCACAAAGGAAAAAAAAAGTATAATTGCAGTTGTTGTTTTTTCAATTAGAGCACACCCACGCGGATCTGCCAGCATATATTGCACTCAAATCCTAAAGCAACCGCATTCGGCCACATTTTGCAGCTGCTCCAGGTCCAAGGCGTGGCCGTTGCGCGGCAGCTGGACACAGCAATCGATGGGCAATGGGTCAACGGGCTGATCCTTGTCCAGCGGCTGACCCTTGTCCAGCCAATCGATAAACGCATTTGCGCCAAAATTGGACATTCGGGTGCGCAGCATGTGATGGGCCAGGGCGGCCTCGTCGTTGTTGCGATACAGAATGAGATAGATGTAGCGCTGCGGCTGATACTCGTAGACGGAGAGCTTGATATAGTGGCCGACCAGGCGCAGCTCCTGGTGCACCTGCAGCGGCGTCAGGTGGTTGACATTGTTCAGCACCAGAGTCTTTCGATTGCGAGATTCGCGCACCTGCACCTTGAGACGGGCCACGCGGAAGCGATGCTGCAGGCTGCAAAATACCAAATTAAATAAAATATATATTTATGTAGATTGTTGGGATTTGCGTACATTTCCAGGGCAAGCGCCTTGTGCTGGGCATCAATGTACTGCAAGTAGGCATAGCCACGGCTGCAGCCGGAGAAGTCGATCTTGAAGCGGAGCATATAAACGTCGCCCAGTTCGATGGCCACCTGCATGATGTGATCCGGCGTGCTGCGCTTGTGAATGCGCGTGAGAAACAGCTGTAATGTTTGTGGCACGAATTAGTACTCAAAAATGTTGCATTATGTTATCAATTGTGGTACACCTCGCCGGCGCCCGATTCCAGATCGGCGAGCCGCTCTGCGGTCAGGGTCTGGCATGTTGTCACATAAATTGTGCCATTTATTTGACTTTTGCGATATTTGTGCTGCAAATTAAAATCCATTTTGAACAATGCTGAAAGTGCAAAACGCGTGCGCAGAGCTTGCCTCTCATTTGCAGTGTTGCAAAACGCAGCACAACCGGCGTTGCCAGCTTGAATGCAGCAATGCTGCCAGAAGCTTTTTAGCTGGCTGAGGTCAAGTGCTGCCCAGCTTATGTGTGTTAGCAGCTTATAACGCAGTGCTGCCCATAGCCTTTTCTCTGTAGTCATGCTGCGGCGTTGATGACAGTGCTGCCAGTCTAAATTTCAAATGCACGCATTAAGCAGGCAGTGCTGCCAGTTTGAGTTTCAAAGGCAAGTGTTGCCACATGGCTTTTGAAATTGCAGTTGTTTTCGAATAAGACTAAATAAAGACTTGCCAAATAGCTGTCGCGATTTCTTCTTTGTTTTGTATTTGTGGGCACATGTCAGGCCAGGTTTTGCCTTGTTTTTGGACAGGTTGTGCGTGCTTTTTTCTAGCTCACGCTTAACAATATAAATTAATGCAGGCCACACACAACTTTGGAGCTGACAGCAGCCACAGACCACAGCACCTACACTTGCTAGCTCTTGGTTGTCGTGTTGTTGTTGTTGTTGCGGTCGGGCCACCCACTGGCAGGCTTCAGTCTGAGACCCAACCTGCTGCTGCACTCAAGTGGCTGCCGTTGCTGCTGCTGCTGCTGTATTGCGGCTGCTTCATTTTCCTAATTTATACGCGCGCAACGCTAATGAAAATTTGCGTGGCAAGGCAAACCACATGCTTTGTTGCTGTGAGTCCATCCTCCTGCCCTGCCCTGCTGCTGCTGCTACTGCTGCTCTTGTGCTTATTGTAAATGACATGGCGTTGGTTCTGGCACTTCAAGGTGCATGGCACTCGTTGCTCCACTTGAGCTCCTGCCACGTTTGCCTGCGGTTGGGAAAGTTATGCGTAGTACGCTTGGAGACAGCCATCATAATCCTGTCGGGGCCTACTACGGCGTCCTTAATAGCTTGTTTATGGCACAGCAGTTGGTGCCCTAGAGCTTGTTCGAGTTTCCAATACAAATAAATATATATTTTTTAGTTCATTCCGTAACCAGACCAAAATGAAGGAGCCCAACGAAAAGTGGCTGGATCGCCATTTCAAGCAACAGCTTGTGGAATATGGCAAGGTCTTCAAGGAGACGGCCTGCGCCTCGGATCAGCACATCATAGCCTATTGGCTGAAGATCTTTGGGACGGCGTCCAAGCAACAGAAATGGGCCAGAAATGGTCTGATGCTGCTCATGTACGGCCATTTGAAGGAGATCGGGCATCTGCAGGTGCCATTCACCGATATGCGCAACCTGGCCAAGGATCTAAACGAGGTGCTGGACAGCTATACGGGTCTGCCCGTTAAGGTCCAAGACAAGTCCACGCAAATCCAGTCTCCGCTGTGTAAGAAGCACGACAGTGAGGAGATATCCCATAATGAAGGGATCAAGGGTTGCCCCTTGTTGAAGAAAGGTTTGGCAACGACTGGACGCCAGCCAAGCCTCAGGCCTGTTCAAAAGTTGTCTAGCACACGTTACAGGAGCACAACATCTAAATGCAAGGACAACTTTTGTGAAATTTCTCTGCCAGCCGAAACACTGCAGATCCTTTATGATACATTCGATTCTCACGAGTGCTACAAAGGCGAGATAATTGGTCCGACAACTCCCTATCGTAAGCTGACTAAGGTCGAGAGTAAAATAATGCAGGAACTGAACGCGGACCTGAAGTCCTTGTCAGAATCAAGGATGAGTGCTACAGTTTCGGAGATGGATGAGCCCTGCTGTAAGTCACGCTCCAATAAAAAGGAGCACAAAGAATTGAAGGATGCTTCGCTTACAGAAGAATATCCCAGCTATTGTGTTTCCTATGCGAGTGAATTTCTGGAGGAATACACGAGCTTCATTTCCGAGCAGGAAGATAATAATGATAAGCAGACTGTGCTGGGCACTTCTCTGCGCTCGGCTAGTGTTGCGGACAAAGGTTGCCAGGAATCGCCCAGGGAGTTGGCGAGGCGTGAGGCCCTGGATGCCGAGCTGATGTACTTGCAGCGCCGCAATCGACAGCTGCGACGCGAATGTCTCATATATTACAAGAAAAATGGGGATTTGCGAAGGCATCCCAAATATCCCAAGATGAGGCTGAAGAGCTTGGGGTTTCTAGTGGGCGCCTATCGGGCCCATTGTCATTTCACACGCTGGCCGAAAAGTCGGAGCTACTTTCAGCAGGAGTTCGATCGCGTGAATGGCTGGCGGACATATAGACGCATCCTGCTGGATAGCTCTAGGCCGAGCAGGCGCTCAGAGAAACTGCAGCTCAAGAGGACCTCTGTGCGGAGATAAGGTATCTATTGGCGAAAAGGGATGCCAAATTTTGGGCATTACCCAACACTTTGAATTGTAAATAAGCATATTATTCTATATTTAAATAAAACCCGGCGTCCTTAGCTGCACTTGATTTAAGAAATTAATTCCAGCTGTGCGTGAATTAATTTAATTTGTAAGCTTTTATTAAATTGCAGTCGGGCTAAAGCAACAATAGCCTCGGGAAGTTGTGGCATGTTTGAGGGTAAGGCAAAATAAAAATAAACAATCTGCTCGTAAACAGCAGCTAATATTTTTTAATTATGCAACACTGAACAATGCGGAGCGAGAAACAAAAATGGCTGCCAGCTGCGCGAGACGCGCCGCCGCCATTTTGTAAGCAGCTGAAATTAGCAGCAAAGGGCATAAAAGAAGCAAAGCGGAAATAAAATGAACTGTCGCCAAAAGCCGTCGCAAGTTCTTGTTGTTTGCAATTGTCGTGCGGTGGGCGTAAGCGTGGGCGTGGTCAAGCAGCAATTGCAGCTGGTCAATGAACTTGCCACAAAGTTGAATTAACTGCCGCAAAACTGCGCAAATATGCTTGCACAGCTACAGTGCAACAGCCCTAAGGTGAACAGAAACCCGAAAGAAATATTTACAGAGAAATTGTTAATGAATATAAAAGTAAATTACACTCGATTATCAGAAGAGAGTGAAGTTCTTGTATTTGAAAAAAAAAACTACAAATGGGCTGTCTGTTTTTAAAATACTTCAAAAATGTTTTAGTGTTGTAAAGTTGCCATAATGACCGAGGTCTGTTGAAAGCGTGGTCAATTTTTATTTTATTTACCTCAAGTTACGTGCACATTTTTAAGCCAATTTAAAAAATATGTAAACTAGGTAAGAATTGTTTAAAAAAAACTCAAAAAATACTTATGTATTTATTGAAAATATCAACTAGTGTTGGATAGCTGCAATATATGCGACACTTGCTAGAGATCCAATGAAGAGTCTACTCTATATATACACACTCCTTGAAAACATTCATTTTTCAACTTGTTCACCCTAACGAGTGTGCACTGTAAGGGAAATACCAACTAGTGTTGGGCAGCGTCAATATATACGACAGTTCTAATGCAGCCTCTACTCTTTATGCATACACTGCGTGCAATTATTTTCATTTTCTTAACTAGTTCATCGTAACGAGTGTGCACTGTCTGTGCCTATGCATATATTGCAAATGGCTTCATCAGCTTTTGACTATGCAAATTTATGGTCTATATTTAGGCATTTTGCACACAACGTTCCCAGTTCCGTCTGCGGCTGCATAAATTAATTATTTATGGCTTGTGAAACATGTTGCTTAACTTTATCTCGTCCCCTCTCGTTAGAACTATTCTCCTTGTCCCACTCTGACTCTCTGCATAGTTAAAGCTGACAACAACATCATCATCAACGTTTGTTTGTTCAGTTGCGAATTTTGTGGCCCAGAGAGCTGTGTTGATTGGGAGACAACGCCTTTAGGCGTCACCCTCAGGGCTTATCTAATAGACTTGATCGCAAAATATGGTCTTGTTTTTTTCTTCCCTTCATTCTGCATTCATTCTCTTTATTTACTCGATTTTTGGCTCATTTGCATGCGCGGCACGCACACATAATTATAATTTTTACAACGTCTAAATAAACGCAAATATCTTATGCACAAAGGCAACCGAGACACAGCTCAACAGGCGTATGGGCTCCGGTAGGGATAGAAAGCGGGCCCAGGGGCGGGACCCTGTGGATGTGCTCAGCGGTCTGTTTGTAATGAATGACAGTCCAAAGATGGTAGCCGATATAAAGCGATACGTTTGCAAATTCTAGAAAAAGGGGCATTTACTGTGGGGTAACACGAATTTGCTGATCAGTTTAGCAGTTGCTATTAATGAGCAGCAGTGTTGGAAAACGATGTATGCGTGTTAATGTAAAAAGTAGATAAATGTACCACAAGAGAGAGAACAATGGAAAGCGGAAGAAATCTATAACCAAATCAGGAACTTGCCCATACTTTATAACAAGTGTTAAAATTAGTGTTGTAAAGCGAAATGTGATTATTGAGGAGAGACTGCAGGAAGTTAAATAGAAGCACATTTGGTAGAAGAAAATATCTGCTTGATAAATGTGCAACTAACTTAAACAAAGAGCGTATTTTTTATAGAAACCTTAAACAGTGCTGGAAAATTAAGCCTGATTGTTGAGGAAATACTGAATGACATGATTGTTAAAGAGAGACTCAAGCAAGTTGAATAGAAAAAATTCGAGAGAAGACAAAGTATGTTGAAAAGAGACTGAAAGATAGTTAAAATAAATAGAGAGAAGAAAAATTCACTTGCAAAATGTGGAAGTAACTTAAAGAATTGAGAAGTAAAGCTAAGTAAATGCTCAAAACAGTGTTGGTAAATGGCGGAATATAATTGTAATTGCTGGCTTAATTTAAGTGTTTCCTTTGGTAACTTTAGAGCTTGATTAAGAAAATAATTGCATTAATTGTAAGCAAATGCCACTTAAAGATTCCTAGGGTATTCACATATTAACACAAGAGAATACACTTTTTTTGTCGTACTTCTTGCTGCCGATTCTTTTATTTAACAATTTCAAATAGCATTACAATATAATTTATGCGCTTTTATTGCGCTCAGCCGAACACAGCGACATATTAATGTGTCTCTCACGCTCTCTCAACTGACGTCAGCCGGACGACTGGGCAGCCGGGCAACTGGAGAAGGCTATAAATATGATTGACATGCCCGACGTTTCAGTCAATCAAATTTTGGATATCAGAAGCGCAACACTTGGCCGGACCAACCAAAAACAAACAAAATATGCTGCTCAAAGTGAGTGTTGGGCAGCTGTTGCTAATCAAAACTGTGTGCGAGTGTGTGTGTGTGTGTGTGTGTGTGTGAGTGTGTGTGTGTGTGTGTGTATGTGTGCTTGTGCCTGTGTGTGTGTGCCTGGGTGTGTGTTTCTTTTACTCATCATTTTGCTATCAATTTGGCAGCTCACACTGACGCTCTGTCTGGCCCTGCTCAACACTGGCTGCTCGGCGAAGCCCCATTTGCTGGCTGCCACGCCAGTTGGATATGCAACGCCGCCCGGCGGCACCTGGTTGGCTGCGACGGCGGCAGCGGTGCCTGTTGCCGGCTATTATCCGGCGTACGCTTCGTATACGTATACGCCGGTCTATTATGGCTCATACGCCGCGTATCCCGCCTATTATCCCGCATACCTGAGGCGCTGATTGCCTGTTGCTCTTTCATATACTTCAATATATATGCAACTATATATATATATATATGCCCATGGGTGTACGAAATTGATTAAATTTAAACGCGCTTTGTGTGTGTGTGTGTGTGTGTGCAGGTAAATCTCATATTTTACGCTGTTTTTACGTTGATTCGATTTAGCGGCTGCTGTAAATAAAATTTAAAAAAAAAAACACGCACTCATATTTATGAAATCAACATGCTAACACAACACACACACATACGCACACAAGGACACACACACACACACACACACACACACACACACACACACACATCAACATAGAATACTAAACAAATCAATAAAAAAAAGGCAGCCTTATATACACGTGTTTCTTTGTAGCTAAAGCTGTGCCCGTAAAAGTATCTGTGCCTGCTAATGTATCTGTATCTGTAAATGTAGATGTATCTGTATCTGTTGCTGTATCCTGTGCCTGGCAGCCACAGCTGCGAGCATTGGCTGTGGCATTTTCATTTGGTCCTTTGAAATTTGCTTACATGTGCGCATATTTTCACCTGCACGTCTTCCTTTTGCCAGGACAGCGAGTGAGGGTGAGCGGTGGAGGGGCGTCACCAGGTGCCTCACAAGATGTCTTTCGATTTGCTGTCTGTGTTACTTGGTAACCCGCTACTGATTTACCTAACGTGTATAAATCTTTTATTCATGTAATCCATTTGAAAACACGTTTGCACATGATTGTGTTTATTTCGAAACGGAATCTTTTCCAGCAGCTCGTCTGTGTGCGAGTGTGTGTGCGTGTCTGCCTGCCTTGATTTGAAAAATCATCAAAATTATCTAAAGTGAATACAAATTTTATTTACTCAATTTTTATTGCTTGCCAGCTTGGCCCAATGCAAACATTTGCCCATATTTCTCATTAAGCTTTTTCCAAATAGTTTTTCCATTTTTATTTGATTTTCACTTTTTTGCAAATAAATTTTGTTTTAATTGGAGCAAACTTACAAGCTGAAATTGTGCGCCATAAATAACAAGTTTTATGTTGCGCAAAATAACAAAATGGTAAATCAAAAATTTTATAAACTCTCGTTAAAGCAAATAAACACAATTTACTTGCGAAATATTCGCAACGAAATTTTGTAAAATAATTAAATTTAATTGCAGTTATTATTTTTTTTTTGTGATGAACAAATATTCAATAGTTAAAACATATTGAAATTGCTTGGGAATAAACAGAAAAATGAAATTCACATAACTTTCTGGGCTTAAAAGTGCAAAAAATACTTCAAATAGTTTTGTAAAAAAATCAAATATATTTTCTCGAATTTATTGCGAAAATATATCTGGCAGCAAATATGGCAAATGGTAAACTTTTGCTAGGAGAAACTCATAAAAATTGTATTTTTTGTATTTATATTGTAAATTTAATAGTTTTTGCCAGAAAAGAGCTAAATATTGCAGAGTTTTCCAGCACTGTTTTTGGCGAATGCTTTGAATTTAGTTATAAGCTCAAGCGAGCGGATAGATGGGCAGCACTGTTGCCTCTAAATTACAGGGTATACGCATTAGCGCGTGCCCGAGCGCATTTAAATGCAGCTAGCTGCAAAGTTTTCAGCTTCACGCAGTTTTTTATTGAATAAAAGGTCATTAAATTTGGACGCTATCTGTTGCCGAGAAGTTGTGAAAATGCTGCAGTCCCCCAGCTACCCGATCCCCGATCCCCGAACCCTCCTACCCCGCCAGCGAGGAGCTGTTCCGCCACGCACTTGGGTTTTTACAAGACTTTTCCGCTTACGTTGCACAAAACTTTACAACTACTTGGCATTTACTACCTGTGCAGCAGCTGGAGCAGGAGGCAGATGCCAAAGTTATGATAAGCAGGAGCCGGCATCGCTGTCGCCTTCATCATACTCCAGCTGTGTTGCCCGGGGCGCTCTCAGGCTTTCAGCGCGCCATCAAGGGAGAGGGAGGAAGGCAGGGAGGCAGGGTGGAAGGTAGGATGGTGGGCAGGCGCATAAAGTCAAGCAGAAAACTTGGGGCAGGAAGCGCTGAAAGGAAGCATATTTCATATAAAAGAAATCCTTTTTAAATAGAAACTTTAATCCAAGCACGAAAAACTTGCACCAGCTGAAGCTGCCCCGCAGATCCTTGAATTTCGATAAGGCCTTACAACAACGAACTAGAAAAAAATTAACAGAGTTCAGAGTGAACGACTAGGAAGCACCCATTAGATACTAAACCCTCTGACCGCAAGTGAGTTTGAACCAGCGACAGTTTTTTTTGGGCTAATAGCCCTGGCATATGCCAAAGTTGGTTTGAACCAGCGACTTGCCCTGATATATCCCAAAATCTGGTTTCTTTGAACACATCTGGGAAATAGTATCCAAATTACTTACATAAACACAAAACGAATTAAACCTTAAGTCAAAAAGATAATGTATCCTAAAGAAGAGAAAGGGTTTGAACCAGAGAAAATTTATTTGAGCTCTGACCTGGCATATGCCAGACTTGGCTTGGATGAAACGAAATTTTAGAGTCTGGCTAATACCCTAACTAAAAAGCTGCTAAAAGGCAGCATATAAAGATTTCTGAGAAATGGTGGGGCAAAAAAAGGTTTTCTAAGTCTGATATCAAGGAAAATATATTGAAAATATATTTCAACTCTTTCTCTTCATAGAAGATTGGCCTTATCCTAATGTATATTCCTGGTAAAGTCGTAGATATGCCGAATTCTATCTGTTACCGCTACCCTGCCAGTGCCCAAATACAGGGTATACAGCAAATGCTGCAGCCCTTCAAACTGTCCAACCCCCCGCTCCAACCCTCAACCCTTTGCAAAACTGTTGCCAGGCAAAGCACATTGAGGCGTGCGCCGAGCCGAGCCGGGCATTAACTTAAAGCTGCAGCCCAGCTCGGAGTCCATTTTGATTAACTAATTTAGTGCAGTTGGCTTTTGCGGAAGGATCTTTATTTACACTAGAGAGCAGATGTCAAGAATTGGTCACATTTTGGCGCTTCACTTCTTCAGCAGCACGGGCGCAGCGACGGGCGCGCTGTACGCCAGAGGAGCTGCAGCGGCATAGCGGGCGATGGGCGCGGTGTAGGCGGCGGCAAAGGGGGAGGTGTAGGCAGCAGCGATGGGAGCGGAGTAGGCGGCAGCAATGGGAGCGGAGTAGGCGGCGGCAACTGGAGCGGTATAGGCAGCAGCAACAGGAGCGGTATAGGCGGCGGCGGCAATGGGTGCAGTGTAGGCAGCTGGGAAGGCGGCGCTATGGGCCACCTGGTGGGCGGTGTAGCTGGAGGCATAGGGTGCCACGTAGGCGGCGCTGCCGACGACAGCTGGTGCGGTGTAGGCCAAAGGAGCCACAATGCCGGGCTTGGCAGCAGCCACAGCCACAACAGCGAACAAGCAGACGGCGAACTGCAAAAGAAGCTGGATTAGGAACTGGAGCAGGAGCAGAAGCTGGAGCTGGGAGCTGGTAGCTGGAGCAGGAACTGGAGCTGGTAGCTACTTACGAATTTCATGTTTGGTTTTTTGGTTGTTTTTTGGTTGTTTTGGCTTGTTGACACTTGAAGCTGTGAGCTTTGTTTGATATGGTTTTTGGCCAGCTGCTGGCTTTTTATAGTCGTCCCCAAGAGACGTGACGCATTCGCGGGCCCGGCCTCGAGCGAAGGTTGCGCTTACAAATGCAGCGGGCATAGCTGACGGCGCGACGTTGACATCGACTTGGCTCGACTTGGCTGTTTAGTGGGCCACCTTTTTTTTTTTTTTTTTTAGTGTTGTAAATCGCATTTGGCACGTGCGTCGGCCTTTTGGTAATTTGATTGGGTTTTGCGCAAAAAAAAAAGCAATTGAAATGCGGCTTCCTACACACAAAAGCCATAAACCAATTATAAAATACAAAACTTTGAAATATTTAACACGAACGAAGCACACAAAGGAGCTGTGCCAGGGCTGCAAAGCCATATGGGTTTCGCACGGACATTGAGTAAAAATATTCTCCAGCTCTTCCAAACTTCGATATAATAAGAAAGCGTTGCTTAAGATCGATAAATATCGATTCAGGACAATATCCTACATTTATTTTAAGTAGGTTTTGGACGAAGTTCTGAAGCTCACTGGAACAAAGACCAAAATTCGAGTCTCCCTTCTAGACTTTGATATGAATCGATTTTTGGAGAAATATGGGAATTATCGCGTGTGCCTAGACGCGTTTGCTTAGAGGGGTCAAATATGGCTCTTATATTCAAAATCGATATTTATCGAAGTCAAGCATCGCTTGCGACTTCGATATGAATCGATTTTTGGAGAAATATGGGTATTATCAGGCAGGTAAAAAACAAATTGGAAGAGTTTATCTCGAAGCGTTTCGGGGGGCTTAAATATGCTTCGAGGGCAAAAATTTAGCTCTCATACTATCATATACATACATATAGATATATGGAGATGCTTCCTCTTGCCTGCTTCATCGATTTCTTACAGAATAATAACAACTTCTATAGCGAAAAAAATCGCGATAAAGCAAGCCAATTAAAAAGTTGTAAGCCAAATTGATTACAGAAAAGTTCTCCTGCCAGTGTTGAGCTTCAGCCCTGAGTTCAGGACCTGCCCACACAGTGTTGGGCAATGGTTCAATAGTTGTTGTTGTTGTTGTTGTTGTTGCTGGCACTTTATCATGAATAATTTGCTGAAACCACTTAAAGGCAGCAGCCGCCGTCAAATGTCGCACGCATTTCTAGACAAATTCAAAACAAAATTTACAATAGACTTCGCTGTCGATGTGTGTGTGCGTGTGTGTGTGTGTGTGTGTGTGTGTGTGTGTGTCACTCACGTTTTACGGCACTTGAGCGACGACGCATTAACGCGCGCGCACAGCTGCTGCTGCTGCTGCCACGCCCAGCTTCTAGACGCCTTTATTATGGGCAATAAAGCGAAGTTCGCAGCGCAGCAAAAAGTGGCGCATATTTTACGCAGCTGCAAGGGGGCGGCGTTCGATATGGGCAGGGTAATAGCAGGGAGTGAGGGGGGTGGTGGGTTCTTGTTTGAGCGCTTTGTGCGTCGCTTTTTTGCCTTTGCTCCTTTTTTGTGCACATTTCTTTTTTAATTACTCGCTGCCACTTAGCCATGCAACACTTGCCACAGGAGCTGTGGGGCAGCTGCTTTGATATGTTGCCAGCGCCTGGGTCACTTGAGAATTGTGCGCCGCACTCGAAATGCGTCACATTTTTTTTTTGTTGTTGTCATTTGTCGTGTTTAAGTCAGCTGCATCAAAGCTTTTAGGCGGATTAAGCAATATGCGACATTATTTGCTGGCAACGTCAAACTTGACAATGAAAGCGTTGCCAGATTGTGGCGCATGCCACGCCCCCCCAAGTCAAGTGACAAAACAAATATGCGCTTGTTGTTGTTGTTGCTGCTGCTGCTTAATTTCAATGGCTGCGCAGCATGATTGTGCATTTAGTAGGCGGCTGCCACGCCCACTCAGGCACAGACGAATTTTGAACGTTGCGTATGCAGAGTCAGGCAGACGAAACACGAGACGGAAGCCAGGCAAATCCTTCAGCGACAACATCGTCATCATCAGCAGCGGCAACAACAACAAAAGTGAAATATTCCGCACAACTTTGTTAGCTGTGGCATGTTACAGACACCCACTCGAACGTATCCCCACCAAACCAGACACCCCCCACCTCTCTCACTCACTCAATCTCTCTCTCTCTCGCCTCTCTGGCAAGCCAAGCCTCCCATGATTCCTGCAAAATCGCGTAATTGGCATTTTTAAGCAAATTCACGCTTCAACACTTTTTTGAGTGCTTGTATGTGTGGGTGAGTGTGCCTGTGTGTGTGTGTGTGTGTGTTGGGTTATTTGTAAACACCTTGAAGCAGCGCACACACACTCGATACGTCTAATTAGTGCGATTTAAGCGCTGCACTTGCCCAAACCCTTTACTCTACACATTTTTTTTCCAGCGCATTTTTTGCAATTTATGACATTTGTTAATTAATTTTCCACTGAATTGTGGTTTGGGGCGAGCTGTTTATCAATATAAGCTCTTAAGTACTTGCATGGAATGACAGGGTGGCCTGCCCGTTCGTAAAGCTGTTGCAGGGTTGTTGTCAGCGCAGGAAGGGGGCGGGGTGGTTATTGAGTGTATACACATTATGAGCATATGGCGCACAAACAGTTAATCAAGCTGAGCGCAAAATTCAATGAAAATAGCGAACACGAAATAATTGAAAATATACATTAAATAGTGGGAATACAATGCGGCAGCAAATTGCAATTTATCGGCTTTTTTATTTAACAACTTTGATTTAATATAAACGTATATGTGTAGGCTTTCCCTTACACAACTTAATCAAAATGCACTAAAATACCAGAAATACCAAAAAAAAGTGTTAAGTATTTCGCGCATTAGAGCCATTTTTAGCGCAGTCTGGCAACACTAACATGCCATTATATTCGCTGACTCGTTTATAACCTAAATAATTACGTTCAGTTATCAATTAATATAGTCAATTAAAATGCAATTCGTATTTGTGATATCGTTAATCATACCGTTTGCTTGTGCTACCGTTTTTTTAGCGCGGTAATACCCACAGTCAAGCTATTTGGCTGCAGCCCAAGGTCATGGACAAATCAAAAGTAACGGACGCCAAGCACGCAGCGCGCCAAGACCCATTAAGATAGAGAGCGTCAATATTTCTGGCCAAGAATTGCGCATGCGCAACATGGACAGCATTGTCTTTGTCCATCGCCAGTCGTTGACTTGGCCAGCCGCGGCGCGTGCTCCGCATACTCAAATAGCTGCCCCAAACAACGGCCCCAAAATTGAAAAGCGTAAGTGTTGGCCGTCTGAGGTTTGGCTATAAAAGCACAGCGTCGTCTTCCAATTGACATCACAAATCAACTGGTCATTCACTAGCTGACAACAAATCCAAAACAACCTAAAAACCAAACATGAAATTCGTAAGTAGCTACCAGCTCCAGTTCCTGCTCCAGCCACCAGCTCCAGCTTCTGCTCCTGCTCCAGTTCCTAATCCAGCTTCTTTTGCAGTTCGCCGTCTGCTTGTTCGCTGTTGTGGCTGTGGCTGCTGCCAAGCCCGGCATTGTGGCTCCTTTGGCCTACACCGCACCAGCTGTCGTCGGCAGCGCCGCCTACGTGGCACCCTATGCCTCCAGCTACACCGCCCACCAGGTGGCCCATAGCGCCGCCTTCCCAGCTGCCTACACTGCACCCATTGCCGCCGCCGCCTATACCGCTCCAGTTGCTGCCGCCTATACCGCTCCAGTTGCCGCCGCCTACACCTCACCCTTTGCCGCCGCCTACACCGCGCCCATTGCCCGCTATGCCGCTGCAGCTCCTCTGGCCTACAGCGCTCCATTTGCTGCTCCTTATGTGGCTCGTCCCTATGCCGCCGCTCCCCTGCTGCTGAAGAAGTAGAGTGGGTGCATCAATCATGGAAATAGTGCGACATGTTTTTAGACCATGGGCATATATTTCGCATAGCTGCACCTGCAATCCATTCTCCCCCCCCCCCCCCCCCTCTTGTGATTTTGTTTACGACATAAAATAAAAGTTTAAGTTTCATTGAAATATTTTTGGGTTTTTTTCTTCATCGTTTTGGCCTCGTTTGGCATGCAGAGCGCTTGGCTGTGCAAATATTTCAGCTGCTTCATTAGCTTCTTTAATGAGCTGATCAACTGGGCACCATTATAGCCTCAAGTCCGGAGCCAATTGCTGAGCTGCATATTAATAGACGATTGTCTGCCGGCTCGGTTGATATATCTGCCCATAAACTATGTGTACAATATAAAAAAGCCTTTATCTATATCATTTAGTTATATCCTGGTTTCCTCAGAGTATCCATTCCAAACAACTTATTCAGTGTTGTATAATGCTTATGTAACATGTAATTAAAGGAGTATGCTGCCATATAATAATCGAATGTTGGTCCAACCTCAACATTTTCTTATTTTATTTATATATATAGGTTATATAACAAGAAATTTATCTGCTAGCCATAATTACCGCAGAGACCGTTAGTCCATCAAATGTGTGGCAACTCCATATTTCAGCCCACACACAGATATCCCGTTACAAGCTACAAATCCTGCATCCAACGGAGACGAACAACCTTGAAGAGGTAGTAAATTAAAATTGACACCTGCTGTTGCTGCTCCTCCTGTTCCTGTCGTTAATGAGGCCTGAAACCGAAATACGTCAGCAGCTGCGTAATCCAAATGCGAATGATGATTTAATGGTAGCTCGAGCCACATCTCACGTTCGCCCAGCCCGAAACTAGATGGTTATTCAATTTGAGTAGACCGGAAAACTGATAGGCATTGGTCAGGCCAGTGCCTGGGTCAGGGGGGAGAGGTCATTGGCAAAAGTTTGGGCAATTATTGTTTCGACTGAACTTCAGCTTCAAGTTGAGCGGGTCGACAAAAGTTTCTGACTTTATTGTTGACTTTGTTAAATGTGGCTAAATGGGCGTAAATGACCAGCAACAGGCTGGCCACATGTGTGTGTGTGTGTGTTAAAGGGTTCAAAAGTTAAAGCGACCTTCTCTGTTGCGATACCATGCACAGGCCGCTCCCTTTACCTTTTTTTTTTTTTTGTGTGGGTCTGGCAACTCTCCGCTTTCATTATAAAAACTGACAGCGCGTAAGAAACTTCTTGCGGTTACTTTGAAGCAGGTAGCAAAAAGACGCATTGAAATGTAAACATAAGTAGAGAAGCTTTGCCACACAAACAAACAGACAGCAACAGCAACAACAACAACAACGTGTACCTCATTATGGCAAAAAGGACGTACGTTGTATCCTTCATCCGCATCCGTTGGAATTATGCGGCATTGTCTAAAAATGAGTTTTCGTTGCTTGTTGCTATTTTTACGTTTCATCGAACAAAAGCAAAGTACCTTGCAATGGCAGCAACAACAACAACCACAAGAATAACAACAACAACAACAACAACAACAACAACAACGACAGCAGCAGCAACAACAATGAAGCTAAAAGCTGGCAAACATAAAGCATTAAGCTCACGAAAAGCGAAAAAGCGAAGAAGCAGAAGAAGCTGCGGAGTAACAAGTCGAAAAAGACAAGCCACAAGCACTCAGAGCCATGACAGTGGCGGGGGTGTGAGCATGAAGCGGGGCGGGGGGGGACAGCTTAACGAATCAGCGCACACCCAAAAACCCCAACCCCAACGCCTCGAATGCAACGGTCCTGCACAGCATAATACATTGTGTAGATGTATATGTGCAATGCATGTGCAATGCGTAGGTGTGTGCGCCATGGCGCAGGCGACAAATGTGGCGAATGCGTTTTTAAAGAAAGCTTAATGCGCAATTGATCTATAACAGAGATTGTTAAATGAACCATAAAATGATACGTAATAAATTGTTTGACAAGCGATAAAATATGTTGTTGTTTTTAAATAAATTGTGTTTTGGTGCCGGGTTTGAACTAAGCTTTGTTTTGTAAGCCAGGTTATACACAGAAATCGGCAAAATGTAGAAAATGTTTTCGGATAATTAAATTTAGATTTGGGTTCGCTTCTTCTTTGACTGATTGATTTGGTATAAGATTCTTTAAAGCAGAAATGTAGCATGCGATATCGAATTCGTTTAGCTTCAAATGTAGAAAACTATTTTTTTATTATCCACCAGTTCCTCTTTATATTTTTTGTCGCCTGACCCTCAAAATACCCATAAAGTAATGCAACTGTAGGGCGTCGTTTGTGTGTGTGAGTGTGTGTGCACAGCATGATGTTACATGGTCTTGGGCTGCTGTACACCTGCCGCGCCACCCTCCCCCATCCCCGGCTGTCGCATTAAGTGAAGCACGCGGCATGTTGGCTCAAAATGAAGTGCTGACAACGCGATGTTGCCGCTGTCGTCGGCTGCCGCTGCCGCTGCTGCTGCTGCTGCTGCTGCTGGCACATCAGATGGCGCAAGTATTGCCCCTGCCCGTTAGCTGCTAAGCGTCTTACGGTAAAACCGCACGCACACACACACACACACACACACACACTAAACGAAGACAAAGGAATTGGTGCGGTTGCCACTCCACTGGCTGCGGGTGGAACTGGTGCTGAAGCTGGAACTGGTGCTGGAACGGGAACTGGAACTGGTGCTCACAACTCCTTCTCCTCGTCCCTTTGGCTGTTTAATTTACGCGCTGCTATTATTTTAATCTTTTGCGCAACAACAGCGTGAAATGACTTTCACCTGGCCTCTTGCTTTGGGTTTGTGGTGGGCGTCTCAGCTGCTGCTTTGGGTTTGACAAGGGTGTGGGAGGGGTGGGGGGGTTGGCGCAGACGTCTCAGCTCGCCGCGACTTCATCTTTGTTTGGCTCAAAAGCATTTAGCACAAGGTGAGCTTGTCTGACAGTTGGCAGGAAGCTGCTCAGGCCTCAAGGCCTGCTCCCCTCCTGCTTCCATATGTGCTCAACGCGTCCGCACGTTTATGCGACTTCCTTTTATTGTTTTATGTGGCTGTCTGTCCCGTTAGCCAAGCACACCTGCCGCTGCTGATCTGCTATTCAGGTGCGAAATAAACGAGCTCTTCTTCGTCTCGTACATCATCGCGTGCAAATCTCCCGCAATCATCCGGTAAAAACAAAAACCCAGCTATAGTGGAGCGCAGTAGGTGGGGCCATGCCTCAAATCAAGTGCTGAGCGGCTCAAGACATGCTGCTCCTGGCTGCTGACACCTGTCTCGCTTCTCCTTGAGCTTCGCTGTTTCAGCTAGCTCTTCTTATTTTTTGCTTTTTGCACTATGCAACACTACAATATTTTAAAAGATTTACTGACCCATGTTGTGGAGCTGCAGCTGTAGCTGCAAAGTGCAAAGCGCTGTAAAATATTACGTATACGCAGTCAGGCACCTGGAAAAAGTCGGGATTTGTAACGCCAAGTTAAACATTTGTTTGGATTCAACAACAGTTGCATTCGGACAGTTAAATATGCGTGCTCAAATATTTAGACAATAATTCAAAACAAGATGAGAGCGTTAGCTGTGCCATGCCACAGCTTTAAAATTCCAGCCAAGAATGTTGAACAAAATAAAATATATTTGAATATATATATTCTATAAAATATGAATAATATAAAATTTGTAATCTCAATCGATTGAGCCTAGTGCTAGTTCAATTAATATCCAAATATTTACGCCTTACATACATTTTTGAGAATCGCAAAGAAGGGCGCCAGTTGCATTTAAAATCTTTGACAGTATATTTAATTTTCATTACACTTTTAGTTAGTAGACACTGTTAAACACATCAAGAAGTAATCACTAAATTTTTATGAAAATAGCCAGGCCCATACTTAAATTCCTGAGAATCACAGAGAAGGGCGGCCGTTGCATTTAAATAGTTATATTTGTTTGTTTTTCTTCTTTTAAATCCCAATGCAGCTTTATCCACAAGTTAATCATCAATCAAACAGTCAGTCAGTCAATCAGTCAGTCGGTCAGTCAATCAGTCAGTCAGTCAATCAGCCAGAACAAACAGTTTGATCTATGTATATAAACGGAGCTGACCAAATATCTCGAGACTAGTTTCTATATATATTCTGTGCGCTAATCAACTGCAAATATTATGCTCATTCGTAGTTGACTTAAAATTCATGCGATTTGCGCTCAACTTGAACAAACCAACCGAAAAATCTTTCAAGCTAAGAGAGACGGGGGAGAGGGGTGGGGCGGAGGGACGGCTGCTTAAGAGCTAAAATAAATAGAATTTTTAAGTAAATTGAAGCGGGAAAGTTATTTGCGCCCAGTTGGATGGCAATCTACACTTTTGTACTAACTTGGCCAACATAATTCACACGCAAGCCAAGTGCGGCAGGTTGAAGGGGAAAGGGCCGTGCTGAGAGAGGTGGTAGGGGAGGGCAGGGGCAGCAACTTGTGGCAAAGCCAGACAGTTGCTTTGGGTGGCACTTTTTACAGCGGCCGCCAGCAACAAATGGTGCACATTACAAGGGCCCAAAGCTACTTACGAAGGCAGCCAAGGCTGCCTGGCGTGGCAAGGACTCACATATTTTATTATCAGCCGCAACGTTTGTGGCAGCAGCTGAAGCTGGTGGCAGGAACTGGTGGCACACGCTGTCTGTCTGTGCAACAAGGCGCAAAACTTAAGCGGCGAAGACAAATTTTTATTGCCACAAGCCCAAGTCGATTTCGATTATTGACTGCAAGCAAACTGTTGCACACACACGCACACACACACACACAGGGCTTGGCAATTGAGGCAGCTCCTTGTGGCACGCAGCCAGGCGAACTTCTTCGTCTTCTTCTTTGGCTTGTCTGTGTCTTTGGCTGTCGCGTTCGCTCATTTGGGTCACATTTTATTATTTTCGTGCATTTATCGTATGCTCGCTGCCATTTTATTTTATTAGCCTGACATTTCAATTGATCGACCAGCCAGGACCTGCCCCAACCCTTCCCCCCAGCCCCCCTTTTCCACA